CTTCTGAGTCACAAGCAAGGACCTGCTCATATTGGAGTAACATGACTGCCTAGTCGCGCTCTATGTCTTCCTTGCTCCAAGGAGACAGAATATAACAGGACAACCGACGAAATGAATTATATACTCAATCCAGTGCAGCAGGCATTCAGTCCGTGGTTCGTCAGCGCGGTGGCACAAGGACATTCTTCTGATTAGCGCCACATGCGCACATTGCTCCACCACTTTTATTTGATTACTGCATTCTACATTTTCTGATTAGATCTGTCAACGTCTGAGAAGTTTAACGGTCTTAACGTATCGAAAATCTGCTTTCAGTGTTATGGTTGCACAATGCCTTTATGTAAGGTTTTAATTAACAGTTAACATACAAAACTTCAGTATTCATGTGATTTGTAAAGACTGTTCAGCACTTCTTACTGTGAGATTCTTTGGCACGTTTAGCGACGCGAGCAAGATACTTTTCTAGATCATTCGTCCTCCCGAATGGTATATTCTCGCGTCTGATTTGATACCAAAATTTTACCACCGTGCCAACTGAAAAATCGCGTAAAGTAATGATTAAAAATAATTGAATGCTTTACATCAAACTATAATGCAAGAAAACACATTGCTTTATAGATTTTTATAGCATCTGGCAACCAAAGCAGTATTAAGGTCAGAAAATGGGCTAGATTTATCACCGAAGACTGCACTTGCAAAAACGTTTTCACCACTTATGTTCGCATTTTAACTGGGTATATTCTTCCGAGTTGAAACAGCAAGCAAGAAAAACAGTTCAAGAGGAAAAAGTGAGAACAAGAAAGCGATCACAGAAACGCGATAAAATGAAAGCGGTTAGTTCGAATTCTATGAGCAGTGAAAAAGTCAAAATTTGGTAAAATACTACAACGATAGGTTAGAATTAGACAGTCACAGGCATATTAAGTCTCATTTTCCACGCCATACAAACTGACATAATGTTATTTCCTGTCTGTTTCTTGACAACTTATTAAGTATTGACCGAATCCTCTTTCTTGCACCCCACACAATCACCCTCTGCTCAGACGAGAAAAAATGAAGAAATTTTTTTAAGCGTAGAATATGGAATGCCCCCCCCCCCCTGATCCTTCAGCTGGGCTTTCTAGTCAGGTTCCAGATAGAAGTTGCCTGAAGCGACAAAGAATGCCGTTTTCCGTAGTCATAGCAGCCTCGTTAACAGACCTTTCACGACCGTCGTTAGCTGACGTTTCACGGTACTTTTGCTGTTGCCTACCGGTTTTATGCGAGGAAGCCACGGTTAGGCCGTTCCTTCTAGTCGTTATTTAATCAATCAATTAAAATTTATCAGTTTTTGCAGTACGCGCTGTTGCCAGCATATATGGAATTCATTTATGGAATTTGGATTTGGAATTCATAATGGAATTCAAATAGGCAAAAATGGCGTATCGACATGGTCCGGAATACTAACATCCGGGAGAACCTTGGTGTACAGCCTTTGCTGTGATTGAGAAGTCACAGCTGCGATGGTCTGGGCATTTGTTGCGAATGCCTCCGGGAAGGAAGGCTAAGCAACTCTTTCTTACTCAACCGACCGACAGAAGGCCCAGGGGATGGCCAAGATTAACCTGGTGCGAATATATGGAAGGAGTCTGTTCCAGACTCCATTTGTCTTTTGCCGAAGC